CGATTTTCAGGAATTTTTGCGATTTTTGCAATTTTCAGGCATTTTCGCAATTTTTGCAAATTTTACGCATTTCTGCGATTTTCAAGAATTTTTGCGATTTTTGCAATTTTCAAGCATTTTTGCGATTTTTGCAATTTTCAGGCATTTTTGCGATTTTTGCAATTTTCAGGCATTTTTGCGATTTTCAGGAATTTTTGCGATTTTTGCAATTTTCAGGCATTTTTGCGATTTTTGCAATTTTCAGGCATTTTGCGATTTTTGCAATTTTCAGGCATTTTTGCGATTTTTGCAATTTTCAGGCATTTTTGCGATTTTTGCAATTTTTAGGCATTTTTCAGATTTTTGCAATTTTCAGGCATTTTTGCGATTTTTGCAATTTTCAAGCATTTTTGCGATTTTTGCAATTTTCAGGCATTTTTGCGATTTTTGCAATTTTCAGGCATTTTTGCGATTTTTGCAATTTTCAGGCATTTTTGCGATTTTCAGGAATTTTTGCGATTTTTGCAATTTTCAGGCATTTTTGAGATTTTTGCAATTTTCAGGCATTTTTGCGATTTTTGCAATTTTCAGGCATTTTTGCGATTTTTGCAATTTTCAGGCATTTTTGCGATTTTTGCAATTTTCAGGCATTTTTGCGATTTTCAGGAATTTTTGAGATTTTTGCAATTTTCAGGAATTTTTGCGATTTTCAGGAATTTTTGCGATTTTTGCAATTTTCAGGCATTTTTGCGATTTTCAGGCATTTTTGCGATTTTTGCAATATTCAGGCATTTTTGCGATTTTCAGAAATTTTTGCGATTTTTGCAATTTTCAGGCATTTTTGCGATTTTTGCAATTCTCAGGCATTTTTGCGATTTTTGCAAGTTTCAGGCATTTTTGCGATTTTCAGGAATTTTTGCGATTTTTGCAATTTTCAGGCATTTTTGAGATTTTTGCAATTTTCAGGCATTTTTGCGATTTTTGCAATTTTCAGGCATTTTTGCGATTTTTGCAATTTCCAGGCATTTTTGCGATTTTCAGGAATTTTTGCGATTTTTGCAATTTTCAGGCATTTTTGCGATTTTCAGGAATTTTTGCGATTTTTGCGATTTTCAGGCATTTTTGAGATTTTTGCAATTTTCAGGAATTTTTGCGACTTTTAGGAATTTTTGCGATTTTTGCAATTTTCAGGCATTTTTGCGATTTTTGCAATTTTCAGGCATTTTTGCGATTTTTGCAATTTTCAGGCATTTTTGCGATTTTCAGGAATTTTTGCGATTTTTGCAATTTTCAGTCATTTTTGCGATTTTTGCAATTTTCAGGCATTTTTGCGATTTTTGCAATTTTTGCGATTTTTGCAATTTTCAGGCATTTTTGAGATTTTTGCAATTTTCAGGCATTTTTGCGATTTTCAGGAATTTTTGCGATTTTTGCAATTTTCAGGCATTTTCGCAATTTTTGCAAATTTTACGCATTTCTGCGATTTTCAAGAATTTTTGCGATTTTTGCAATTTTCAAGCATTTTTGCGATTTTTGCAATTTTCAGGCATTTTTGCGATTTTTGCGATTTTCAGGCATTTTTGCGATTTTTGCAATTTTCAGGCATTTTTGGCGATTTTTGCAATTTTCGGGCATTTTTGCGATTTTCAGGAATTTTTGCGATTTTTGCAATTTTCAAGCATTTTTGCGATTTTTGCAATTTTCAGGCATTTTTGCGATTTTCAGGAATTTTTGCGATTTTTGCAATATTCAGGCATTTTTGAGATTTCTGCAATTTTCAGGCATTTTTGCGATTTTTGCAATTTTCAGGCATTTTTGCGATTTTCAGGAATTTTTGCGATTTTTGCAATTTTCAGGCATTTTTGCGATTTTTGCAATTTTCAGGCATTTTGCGATTTTTGCAATTTTCAGGCATTTTTGCGATTTTTGCAATTTTTAGGCATTTTTGAGATTTTTGCAATTTTCAGGCATTTTTGCGATTTTCAGGAATTTTTGCGATTTTTGCAATTTTCAGGCATTTTTGCGATTTTTGCAATTTTCAGGCATTTTGCGATTTTTGCAATTTTCAGGCATTTTTGCGATTTTTGCAATTTTTAGGCATTTTTGAGATTTTTGCAATTTTCAGGCATTTTTGCGATTTTCAGGAATTTTTGCGATTTTTGCAATTTTCAAGAATTTTTGCGATTTTTGCAATTTTCAGGCATTTTTGCGATTTTCAGGAATTTTTGCGATTTTTTCAATTTTCAGGCATTTTTGAGATTTTTGCAATTTTCAGGCATTTTTGCGATTTTTGCAATTTTCAGGCATTTTTGCGATTTTCAGGAATTTTTGCGATTTTTGCAATTTTCAGGCATTTTTGCGATTTTTGCAATATTCAGGCATTTTTGCGATTTTCAGAAATTTTTGCGATTTTTGCAATTTTCAGGCATTTTTGCGATTTTTGCAATTTTCAGGCATTTTTGCGATTTTTGCAAGTTTCAGGCATTTTTGCGATTTTCAGGAATTTTTGCGATTTTTGCAATTTTCAGGCATTTTTGAGATTTTTGCAATTTTCAGGCATTTTTGCGATTTTTGCAATTTTCAGGCATTTTTGCGATTTTTGCAATTTTCAGGCATTTTTGCGATTTTTGCAATTTTCAGGCATTTTTGCGATTTTCAGGAATTTTTGCGATTTTTGCGATTTTCAGGCATTTTTGAGATTTTTGCATATTTCAGGAATTTTTGCGATTTTCAGGAATTTTTGCGATTTTTGCAATTTTCAGGCATTTTTGCGATTTTTGCAATTTTCAGGCATTTTTGCGATTTTTGCAATTTTCAGGCATTTTTGCGATTTTCAGGAATTTTTGCGATTTTTGCAATTTTCAGTCATTTTTGCGATTTTTGCAATTTTCAGGCATTTTTGCGATTTTTGCAATTTTTAGTCATTTTTGAGATTTTTGCAATTTTCAGGCATTTTTGCGATTTTTGCAATTTTCAGGCATTTTTGCGATTTTTGCAATTTTCAGGCATTTTTGCGATTTTTGCAATTTCCAGGCATTTTTGGGATTTTTGCAATTTTCAGGCATTTTTGCGATTTTCAGGAATTTTTGCGATTTTTGCAATTTTCAGGCATTTCTGCGATTTTTGCAATTTTCAGGCATTTCTGCGATTTTTTCAATTTTCAGGCATTTTTGCGATTTTTGCAATTTTCATGCATTTTTGAGATTTTTGCAATTTTCAGGCATTTTTGCGATTTTCAGGGATTTTTGCGATTTTCAGGCATTTTTGAGATTTTTGCAATTTTCAGGAATTTTTGCGATTTTCAGGAATTTTTGCGATTTTCGCAATTTTCAGGCATTTTTGCGATTTTTGCAATTTTCAGGCATTTTTGCGATTTTTGCAATTTTCAGGCATTTTTGCGATTTTTGCAATTTTCAGGCATTTTTGCGATTTTCAGTAATTTTTGCGATTTTTGCAATTTTCAGGCATTTTTGAGATTTTTGCAATTTTCAGGCATTTTTGCGATTTTTGCAATTTTCAGGGATTTTAGCGATTTTTGCAATTTTCAGGCATTTTTGCGATTTTTGCAATTTTCAGGCATTTTTGCGATTTTCAGGAATTTTTGCGATTTTTGCGATTTTCAGGCATTTTTGAGATATTTGCAATTTTCAGGAATTTTTGCGATTTTCGCAATTTTCAGGCATTTTTGCGATTTTTGCAATTTTCAGGCATTTTTGCGATTTTTGCAATTTTCAGGCATTTTTGCGATTTTTGCAATTTTTAGGCATTTTTGAGATTTTTGCAATTTTCAGGCATTTTTGCGATTTTTGCAATTTTCAGGCATTTTTGCGATTTTTGCAATTTTCAGGCATTTTTGCGATTTTTGCAATTTTCAGGCATTTTTGCGATTTTTGCAATTTTCAGGCATTTTTGGGATTTTTGCAATTTTCAGACATTGTTGCGATTTTCAGGAATTTTTGCGATTTTTGCAATTTTCAGGCATTTCTGCGATTTTTGCAATTTTCAGGCATTTCTGCGATTTTTTCAATTTTCAGGCATTTTTGCGATTTTTGCAATTTTCATGCATTTTTGAGATTTTTGCAATTTTCAGGCATTTTTGCGATTTTCAGGAATTTTTGCGATTTTTGCAATTTCAGGCATTTTTGCGATTTTTGCAATTTTCAGGCATTTTTGCGATTTTTGCAATTTTCAGGCATTTTTGCGATTTTCAGGAATTTTTGCGATTTTTGCAATTTTCAGGCATTTTTGCGATTTTTGCAATTTTCAGGCATTTCTGCGATTTTTTCAATTTTCAGGCATTTTTGCGATTTTTGCAATTTTCAGGCATTTTTGCGATTTTTGCAATTTTCAGGCATTTTTGCGATTTTTTGCAATTTTTGGGAATTTTCAGGAATTTTTGCAATTTTCAGGAATATTTATTATGTAAGTGCAGTATCCACAGTGGTGAATTCCATTAGTTTCTTAATTTGGTATACTAAATACTTTATTCGATTTCATTGCTGTGTAATCGATGTGATCTTTCCAGTTCAATTCTGTATCAATGTGGATGCCTAATAATTTGACACTTCTGTGTTGTTCATGATTGAAGAAAATTAGTTCATTGGATTTTCCTGTATTGCATTTCAAATTGTTTGCTGAAAACCATTCAGACGATTTGGTTTTCCAGTTTTCCAGTCTCAATGTGTTTATGTATATCCTATTCACAATCGAAGTATGATCAGCAGCATGTAATATCATTGCATTGAGGATTCACATATTTGGGAATAAGGTCGTTAATGAAAATAATAAAACATTTAGGTCCCAATATGGATCCTTGAGGGACACCAATCTTATCAGTCTAAAGCATTGTATACATATTGCAATGCAGACGTGTACCGATTGTAAATATAGTTTTCAGATGGGGTGTTATTGTCGTATATTTAACATCTTCATTATTTATTCCTCTAATCATTCTAAGCAATACATTATCCTATCCAACCAACTTTATCGTCAAATCCTGATTATGTTTCTTTCATTTTCAGAGGTAAAAATGTACTGAACCAGAAGACGGAACTACAAAGAGCCTTGGAAAAACAAAAAGACAATCTTGCCAAAAAACAGCTCCAGACCCACGTAGCTTCAAAAGCACCCGAACTAGAAAAAGTTATAGCTGATAGGGCGAAAAGACTGCAAAGCCCTAATGAAGATAAGGTAATAACATTCTGATACATATTTTGTAATGATAATTGAGATATATGATTTCCCTATACTTTCAGTGTTTATTTGATTTTTTTTTTTCAGAATGAAGACGATAAGGTTTTGAACAAAGAACTGCTTCAGATCCGCATGAAATTAAAAACTCGAACAGATTCTAAGTAAAAAATATTTTTAAAAAATATTGCTTTAATGATTGTTTATTTTCTCGAAACAGCAGTGTATCTACCGAATTATTGTATTTAGTTTAAGTTAAGTTAATTTAATTTATGTGATAAGTGTTGGACAATTTTTTTTTAATTTCAAATACACATAATATATATGTGAGTATGTGAAATATAGCTAATAAATATTTTTTCTACGTGCTATATATAGTTTTTTATTTCAGTATAGAAAAATTATGTGAGCATATAATCGTGCAGGAAATATGGAGTTGAGGTTTTTATTGGGTACAAATAATGGTCTATGGTTATTCAATAATATTTATAATGGCCCATAAAATAATACAGATGAGGTACATGCAGTTGTAGGCATGAACAAGTCGTATTAGGTTTGTATGAATGTAAAACTCACTTTGATGATCCAGATTTCATTAACAAGTAAGTACACGTACACATTTGCGCGTTACTCACAAAAATAGTTTGAATTTTGACACTAATTGCCAAAGTCGATAAGAAGCATAGTGGAAGGAGAAGATGGTGTGCTCAACAAATAGCTCAAACTCGTCTTGTTCTGCGCATGACGTCAGCTGGGATATAACTGTCATTGCTATTATTTGTTTTCGTGATTGATGTCACGAACTTCAGATATTATATAAGTACTAAAATTGTATATAATTTCGAAATGCCCACTTCTTTCGTTTCTGGTTATGGAAATTCCAACTAACATACAAAAGGCAAAAGGCAAAAGGCACAGATTTAGAATTTTTCTGCTTTTCCAAGAATGGAGACCTAATGAAACGATGGGAGCTTGCTGCCGACAGAATATAAACTCAAATAATGGTACCTACCTTATATTCCTTATATCCTCATTCCAAAGTATTCTCCTATCATATCATCACATTTATATATTACGTACAGCACGTATTTCTTCCAAACATCTCTATGCAAAATGTTCCCAAACGCAACTGCGAAAGTATACGGTTCTTGACAAAAAATCACAAATACTTAAAACAAGATACCATTCCTACAGAACATCTTCCGTCGAATATCAAGTCAGAAATAATTGAAAATGAATTCAAAACTCTTAATTTCTCACAAAATATAAATTGCAGCAAAGATTTGAATAACAAAACGGCAAAAATTGATACTCCTGTTGTCGATGTCGGAGCAGAAGCAACGTCAACGTCGTTTGTTTTTGCTATTTGCGATTGCGAATTACCTCAACGTCACAATCTCCAGAATCAATGAAATAGTAAAATCGGAGGAATAGGTACCTGTTTATATAAATTGACTTATTTCTAAACAGATCGAGAACGCCCATGGCAACGGTAATGTCTGTGTCTAGCAGCTGATAATTCAAGGGCGTACCCAGGATCTGAACTAGGGGGGGGCAGCTTAGGCAAGGGAACTAGAAACTACCGAGAATCAGTATCAATCACTGGACATGCCATGCTTCAACTGAGACGTTTTTTTCAATCTTAATAAACATAAGTATTTCAATTAACTGTTCTTTATTATTTTTTCATCTTAATAATAATCTTCTCGGGTTCGCTGCAAATTTTTCCATTACTTTTGTTTCCACCATCTTACGGTTTTCTTCCAAGCATAATCCAGTCAGCCTTGTCTCACCCATAGTGCTCCTAAGCCAGGTCTTCACTCTCCGAAGCGTACTGAATGTAACAAACAGTGTTGCCAGCTGCTGAAGATGATATGTCGCCAAAAGTTAGGAAAAAAACCGCTAGAAGTCGCCAAAGCGAGCGAAGCGAGCGGAAAGCCCGCCGCAGGCGAAATTTTTGGAAATTTAGCGACTTTATTTCGTGATTTACCTACATTTTTGATCATATTTCATCATTTTCAGTTAGTTTATATCATCAGATAAAAAATCGTGGAAAACTTTATTTATTCAGATTCTGTTTAGAATGAAAAAATGACAAAACAAAATGAATATAGGTGAATTTTCCTATACCTATAGGTAGGCACATTGGTAAATCACAACATACATTATTTTTCGATCGTATTTAGGTTTGTCCTTGATCTTGTCACACGTTCATAAACCTGTCAAACCATAACCATGTATCAACTCATCTTTCTAGTTCAACATCATACAGATCTGCGACTTCATCGCAAATAAAATATTCGTTCACAAGCATCACAAGTTTTTAAACCATATATCGAATATACAAACGGGTATACGGGTACGATAGCAACAGCGTTGCCAGATACCGCGATTTATCGCAATTTAGGTTACTTTTTTTGTTGGTTCTTGCGATCAAATTATGTTCTTTGCGATAAGCGACTTATTTAAGCTATTTATGAACTTGTAATCAAAACTGATATAAAAACACAGTACTTCAACAAAAAGATTTAAAATCTTTCTTTATGAAACATCATTATTTTGCTCAATCATGATTAAGATACAAAATTTTCAGTATTCGGGAAAAAGTCAAGTGGCAGGATGACTTCTAGGGGGGGGCAGCTGCCCCCTCCTGCCCCTCGCTAGGTACGCCCTTGGCTGATATGGGTATCCCAGATGACGTCACATAAGAAGATTAATCAAGATTTGACAAGAGCCTGATTCACAATGGCTCATATAACTGCTGTACGACTTGTTTGTGCACACAATTGTACCTGTGTGTGTTTGAAATAAGTGCACATATTCAGCACATTAATATGATATACAGTTTAAGGAATATTCCCATGATATCAATTTTTTTCTAATTCTTCAAACTAACGAGAAATTTCATTCCAAAAATTGAACAAAATACGAGAAAAAAATCAAGCACGCCACTTTAAAACAATTTAAATGATTGAACTCCGCGTGATTGTGCCTACCGCATAGAAATTTGAACAGAGGTGACGTCAGATTTGCTAGTGTGTAGATAACTTTGGGTGGAATATGAAATATGTCATGTACCTACTAACAAACCAATATAGGCATTTTTTGAAGCAGGAGATTTTTTAATATGTCTACCGGTGTCGTCCGTGTGGAATGTATACTGGAGATTTTCCTAAAAAAATATTGTAGGCCCTTGCTCATTCCGAGATTGAACCCATTTTTGAAATCCTCATTTATTTTGCAACAATTTGACCATATCTAGTTTTTTTTTTTCGTCCGACGCACACCGTTCTTGCGTTAAAAAATAAAAACTATTTTCATATACATTTTTGTGGTAAAACAACATTATTTTGAACTAGTAAGCCTGGTGTCCTATTTTGTTTTTAAAATAATGACATTTGATCGAATATGTTATTGTGGTCTTACTTTGACATTCATGCATAAAAGTGACAGTTTTTTACATTGTGAAAGTTTCTTCAATGAATAATGAAGAGAAAATAAATAACACCCTCTATATATATAGCTCGTAAGTTAAGAAGTTTATATAGGGCATGTGTTATCCATATATGAACCTTGCTTCTTAAAATGAGCTAATTTAGGGAATAGGTATATCCATTTCTAGCCATCAATTAATAAACTTATTGTTTTTCCACCATGATAGCAGGTATGTTATGTTACCATCAGTTCAGTGTTTATTTTATATTTTTCCTATGAATATTAGGAAGTTCAAGTTCTAAGATATACCTACTTAAGTACATATGAATAATATAGGTATATGAATCACATATATATTTATTTATTCTACCTTGAAATGCACTATCCATCAAATATATAATATAACCACATTTAAATCCCGAGTTTTGATGTTTTTTGGTAAAACTGCATTTAGCATGCGATGGGTTTTTTTTCGAAAATTTTTTTTGGTACTTACGTATTTTTGTCTGAAAAACACGAATTTGATAATGAAAATGTGAACAAACCACTATTTATCGAGATATTTCAAAAAAAAGTTCGAAATTTCGACTCCTTTTTCCCCTTGCGTTGGATGCATTTTCAGGTACTTGCTCTTCTTATTTTGTCATTGGACACTTTATATACTCATGATGTACTTCAATGACACATTTTTATACAGAAAATTCAACAGGAAATATGATTTTTATGGTGAGTTTTTCCTATTTAGTGAGCAAGCATACCAGATGACGGCCATTTTATCCATAGGCAATCCAAATACGAGATGTCAAATGTCAATAGATTGCTTTGGAATGACATTACACACGCCATTATTTCAAATGATAGTCTTCCTTCTTTTCAATAAATATGGATAAATCACAAGAAAATAATATTTCTAGTTGACTTAATAATAGAAAAAAATGTGTCTTACATTGTGATATATATAAATTGTCTAATGATGAAAAAAGAAGGGTGAATTGTTTAAAATTCAATCCAGAAGACAGGCGGAAAAGAAGGTGAAATTTGAAACTTCATAGTGAAATATCTTGATAAATAATGGTTTGTTCACATTTTCATTATCAAATTCGTGTTTTTCAGACAAAAATACGTAAGTACCAAAAAAAATTTTCAAAAAAAAACCCATCGCATGCTAAATGCAGTTTTACCTGTTTTTTTTATCTCTTAGAGCGCACGGACGAAAATTCCTATAATGTTCGTGGAACATATCGTGCCTAAATATCCTCACAGAACTCATATTACTATATTGCACGATTTATTCACATTTCGCAATTATATATTCACTGATATATCTACTATACTGAATAACTAAATCCAAATTCTGGATTTATTACATATTAATCCTTCAATCTGAATTTGCACTTGCACATTTTGCAATTTTTGCATAGCATTCTGCTTGGGCTTGGAGTAATGTTGGTAAAGAAGGACTTCGCTTTACCGGTACCGCCACCTATCTTAGTAGCATGGCAGATTTCTGTATATTTCCTCTCTACAACTTGTGCTCTTTCTTAGTTCTTTCCCTTCGTTCCGTCACTGTCCTGTAGAGAGTGCTTGGGTCTGTGGTGTCGACACTGTCGACTGTGGACTGTGGAGACAATTGACTGAATTGACAATCCAAACAATACAATGGCTGAGTTTTACACGAAAGTGCTATTGATTTAAGTGAATTCAGTGTATTTGTTTGATTAAAAATGTGATTTATTCTATTGAAAACGTCAAAATGTGGATCCCAACTAAGAGCAAAAAATATGGTGTCGGTAAGTTGTACAATTTTCCCTGACAACGGGAATTTACCATGGATTCCCATGGTTTTATTAGATAAAAGTTGCAAGGACTACATGTTTTTGTAATGATTATTTGTATTTTCAATTTGAATTCGGAATGAAGAATTGAAGATTCGTTGTGAATAATGTGTGATATTATGGTGACGCAACTCAGAGACTGACAAGTTATTTTAAAATTTTTATTCAAATAGAGAATGAATAATTTTTTATTCAAATTCTCATCAAAATTGGTTGAGAATAAAATAATGATACTTTATAACATCGATAAGATATTGATATAAGCTCATCATGATCATATCATAGATAAATAGCCCTTTCATTTCTGCATTCATAAAAAAGAACAGTTTGTTGAACATGGTACTTCAATCTATAATATTTTGATAGACCCTACAGACATACACTTCCTGTCTTCTCCTCATCTCAATATTTAAAAGTGCTGTTTCCTCTCTATGCCTGTTCTGAATGTATAATTAGAAAATGTGTGGATATGAGACCTCTAGAAATTATTTGGTTTTTTATGGGCAGGGTTTATTGGAGGTTTATTCGAACTTTGAATAATAATAATTGATGATAAGGTAATAGCTGTTTTGGAAACTGACCATAAAATTATGTGCAAGGATGTGTGAAAATCATTAATTAACTATATTTTCGATTGTTTTATACTTAAGTAGGTACCTATAAACTAATGTGGGAAATTTGCCAAATGAAATTTATTTGGGATTATGTCGTAATTGCGATTCATTTATTGATACGGTCAGAACGAGAGTCATTAATAAGGTCGAAAAAAAATAGGATCAGAAAATATCAAAAATTCACAAATTCAAAAATAGAATTTTTGCGGATTTTGTCGCAATATTTTTCGTCATCGAATACCTATTGACGCAGTTTTATGGTTACAAAGAAATCGAAAAAAAGGTCCCTGGGTACCTATACCTAGGGGTATTCCTACCTCTATGTTTTCAAAATCTATGTCAAAACCAAGCTTCCAATGGATTTCAACAGATTATAATCAGTGTGAAACCAGCTACGACTTCGCCAATTATTCGAGACGTGCGCCATACCACCAATGGTCATGTATTACTAATTTATACTCCTGACTGGGCATGAAATCACTAAAACCTCCTCTGTGGATGATACTATTTTCCATTAATGTATTCCTCTAAGGGTCCTTAATAATCTGTATATCTCACAATATTTTGCCAGGCAAGAATCAACCCCACAGGTACATTTTTTTTAAATTTTCAAATTCTTAAGATGGAGGCCTGTGCATGGGGTGAATTCTTGCCCGACAGAGATATACACATTATCAAGTTCCATTAGATGAATACATTAATAGAAAAAAACTCCCATCCACGTGTATTTTGAAAAAGTTATGATTTTTTTTAAATTCCAAAAAAGGGGGTTTGTGGGGTTAATTCTTGCCCGACAAACTTATTAATAAGAGATATACACATCAACAAGTTCCATTAGATAAACACATTCATAGAAAAAAACTCCGATCCACGTGTATTTTGAGAAAGTTATGATTTTTTTTTCGCAATTCTAAAAAATACGGCTTGTGGAGTTAATTCTTGCCCGACTAAATATTGTGAGATATACACATCAAGTAGAACTAGTGAAACACATTCATAAAAAATCTCCCATTCACGTGTATTGTGAAAAAGTTGTGATTTTTTTTGAAATTCTAAAAAGACGGCCTGTTAGGTTAATTCTTGCCCAACAAAATATTGTGAGATATACACATCAAATACCATTAGAGGAACACATTAGTTATTACTAATTAGTATAAATTAGTAATAAACGACCATTGGTGGTATGGTGCGCTTCTCAAATAATTGGCGAAGTCGTGGCTGCAACTCGTGGCTGGTTTCACACCGATAAAAATATCAAGGTATACCATCGTGCACACCCGAGTATACCCTGTACCTAGAGTCACTGGATGGTAGCAAAATTTTTGAGGTACGTAGATTGAAATTCAAATTCACTCTTTATAATAACAGAGCAGATTAAAATGAACTTCGTTTTGGGTCTTTATTTTCAAAGTTGGCGATCTGGCTCTATTTTATAGATATTTTCATGGACGATGCTCTTCTGAAATATCAACAATTGTTCCTCCCTTGGCATTCCCCGCGAGATTTACCCGTCAAGTTGAGGCTTCGCACACCTTCGTGGTCACTTTGGAGACCTGCAGAACATCTCTTTCCAAAGACTCGTTCATCCAACGAACAACGAGGCACTGGAACACATTGCCAACGGAGGTATTCCCCGAGGCATATAACCTCCAGAAATTTAAGAAGAACACCAATTCCTACCTTATTTTCCTTGGTTCTCACGATGTTCTCTGAACATTACAGGATATCCCTTTTCGTAGGAACTGAAGATTTCAAGATTGAGAGAATCTGCTGTTTCATTCATTTACAAAAAAGACTATTAGAAAAGAGAATTCATTATTATCATCACACGAAATGCAAAACAAAACTATCATGGAGGAAGAGGAACTAATAATTGCAAAAGTACCTAATTAAATTGAAAATTCAAGAACGACAACGGGATATATCATTGAAGGGAGTTTTTAATACCGACCGACGTGTCTATTGTGTCATCAATATTTTTTTATTGAACCGGTCAAAGTGTGCCGTGTAAATTGAAGAGCAGATCTTATAGCATTTTGCCTGATCTTTCTGAATTTGATGGAATTTTTCGAGAAAAGTGGTCACAAAGTGAATTTTTTTGACATAACAATGAAACATGATATTTTCCCAAGTCCGGACCTGGATATTTCTTTTCATAATATGTTATCTTGAATAGTTTCAGTAGAGATACGTCGCTGCCAAATTACAGCAGATTACGATGAATCATTTCTGTAATATCGGCCATCAAAGTTATATAACAATTTCACATAATACCCTGTATCTTCGTTATGGAGGGTCAAAAAATGTTTTCATATATATACATCAATTCGGCTTGATTTCCCCTATTTATCATTTGGCTATGTGAGTCTTCTCATGAAACACCCTATATGTATTCTTTTCATTTTCATAACTGCTGTTCTCCGAAAAGTGCCGTATCTCTATAAATTGAAGTGTATGTTTATACCCTATTTCCATTTTCCATCTACGGCTATGATTGATTTGAAAGGAAATCTAACCTCCAAAATCGTATCTGACAATCAGGTGCTACTAGGGAAATTGAAAAGACAATGAGCAGAATATACAATGTCTCATTCTTTTATTCACTCAAACCATTGTGATATAGAAAATAGAAAAGGACAGAAGTTCAGCTGTGTCCGAACTCTTATCGTTGATTGATATATTATCAACGCTCTTATTTAATCTTATCTAACTAAAACCATCCAGTGACCTGTTGGTTTGTTATGTTTGTTGTTTCTTGTTGGTTTTCCAATGTTGTCCCCCGACTCAGCTTCTTGCAACAAACGTCAAAAAATGACAAGGTTGGCTCATTGATAACAATTTGCGAATAATAATTTTTATCTACAACTAAGGAGTCATTCATACATTGCTTACTCGATTTTCGACATTTAATGGCAGTCATTATTGTGATGAATCGAGTAATAAGAGTAATAATGACAGCAGGGTGGCGTAATAATTTGACATCCCATCGTCTTGTCAAATTCAACTAGGTAGGTATTCGTTCTATTAGTTCGCAAATCCACCGTACCATTGTTCTCGTAGTTTTAAACATCTTAATTCTACAAATACACGGAAAAATAAGAATTCACTGTTTTCCATCCTCAACAGTGACTATCATCATGAGTAACCATAACCATAAAATAGGACTTGACACTTGCAGATTTGCTCACACCTTAGATCCTGTATGATCTAAGGCACACACTAACACTAATATGGCTACAGGCTATTGGAATAGATTAGTACAGACCAATCAGAACCATGGAATTTCATTGTTGATAACTAGCTTCTAGAGACAGGGTACTACAATCAATCATCGCGGTGGGGGAACGCTACAGCGGAAGCAAAAAATGAATAATCTGCAATAGTATATGATTCATTTTACAACTGAAAAGTGAAATATCATATAATACCTGGTAAGATTGACTGATATGTGATTGCACGACTTTTTTCCTGCTAATAAAAGTTATATCCAACATTGTTTATCAAATTTTCACAATCAAAATTATTGAAATAAGTTGAATGGAATGGAATCTTTGTCAATAAATTCTCGATGGAATTAATGAGTATTTAAAATCAGATTTAGTGATTTTGCAATATAATAATCTTCATTTTTTTCTAAGATATATTTCTGAACTCTCAGAGTTGCTTTGATATTTGAATAGTTGTAGATAAAGTATAGTATTCTACTTGCGCATAATGACTATTACCCACTCAGATGATTCCAGCACTCGCCTTTGGCTCGTACTGCAACTTTCATCTTCGTGGGTAATAGCCATCATTATACGCTCGTTGAATAATATACTATTTCAGTTTATTATGATACCATGACAGCTTGCACGAAACAGTGCGCGAAATACAAACATTCAAGAAATAATTTAGTTTTGAATGTTTAACAATAATTAAGGCCTTTTTAGCCAGTTCAACACTATTGCTTATATTAAGCTAAAAGCTAAGCATATTACTACTGCAAAACTATATTTCTTGACGTTTGTAGAAAGAAATCTGTTTGCAACTCGTACCGAGACTCGTACGCGAAATACTTAGGATATTATCGCAGGTAATATCCCGAGACCATGACAAATAGCCGACTATTATTTTCGTCATAATTCTATCGAGAGTACCTTGTATTTTGACAATTTGATGAGACCATATGAACATTAATAATCTGAATAAGTTATTCTATGATTATTTATGTTCATATGGTCGAATTGAATTGTCCCAAAATACAAGTTACTCGAGATGAATTAACGAAAATAATAGTCTCCATTTGTCATGGTCGAGTGATATTCAGGAAGATTATTTCATGAAGAGTGCAAAAATACT